ATTTTTGCAATAAAATACGAAGAAACTTTTTCCCCAACCCAATATATATATATATATTGTATAATAAAATTTTTTATTTTATTCAAGATATGTAAATGAGGCGGGGGGGAGGGGTGGCACGCCAAGTTTTCATATCTTACTTCATTCTGAAAGTCATTTATGCGATTTAGAATTTGTATAAAACTTTTTAAAATTATATACATCATATAAAAAATGCTATAGGAATTAAAGTAATCTTAACTCACTTAGTATCGATTATGAATTAATATCACATAATTTATTGTACTTGGCTAATAGTATTGATTTCATATTGATTTCTAAATATTTTATTTTTATCACTCTTTTAGATTTTTTTATTTTTTTCCATGTACTTGGCGTATTTTTTTACCTTTGGTGTATTATCTAATCTTAAATCTTATTGGTTATCTTCACTGACTCGATCGAGATATTGATGTTTATTTTTACAATTTTATCCTTTGACCTGCGCTATTTTACAGTGCTATTTCCCGTTTGTTTTATTTTTATATCTTCATCTATTTATTCTAGAGAATTTTCCTTTTATATGTTCTATTAAATTATTATTGTCATACTGAAGAGGTTACAAAAGGAATCGAAACGTTTGTAATTTCAAAAATTGTTTTTTTTTTTAATTATAGATGTATAAAACACGCAATATCACCTGTGCTCTTCTTGGTCTTAAATAAGTCTTCTTTATTATTATTGATTTATTATTTGGACCAATTATACGTAGATTTATATATTTATAATTTTTTGATTCTTGGTCATAATTATTTGTTTTTATATTGAATAGATAAAGTTTGCATGTGATTTTCGTACGATTGAAGATCAATAACTCAAAACATGTGACACACGAACGTCACAGTCAACACAAAGGTTTGATATCATTTGCGCGTTAATATTCAACGGAAGAATATTTAATTATTCGTTTTACTATATGTTCGAAGTTTTTCACATAATAATTAGAGTAAATTGAAAACAACTGTTTAAAAATTAAAAATTGATTTTTCACAATTAAAAGTTGATTATTCATGAGATTCAGTAATTTCTATAAATGATTGTGTATATAGAAATGTTTAAAAAAACAAAGTCAATTTAAAAAAAAAAATATGCACATAAATTGGTATTCTAATGTAAAAATATAATAAATATTTTTACATAATTTATTACATGTCTATCTTTAAAAGTGACTCTTTCATGTAACATTTTTATCTCTTTTATGTCTATCTCTTTACAGATGACCCTTTTATGTAATACGTTTTATCATTCTCCCCTAAAAACAATTGTTTTTATTGAAGTTATAATTCAAATATACTCGAACAATAGGTATTTTTTCTTTCGTAACCGATATAAGTTTGATAACAATCAATTCTAACTCTCCGATGTGCATGTGATAATCAAAATTGCGTTCATTCACAGCGATGTAATCATCATAACATTTTCATTTAACAATGATTAAGACGTAAAATATTGTAAAGTAATTGTTTATATATTGCGATTGTGAAGTCACTATGGCATTGTTCCAATTTCTTATGAGAAATAATGTGCTTTCGTAGTAATTTAAAATTTAAAATAAAAACGTTACTTATTCAAATGAGCGTATTGTATGTAAATGTAACGAGTAAATTTACATGCAATCGCAATCTTTGCATTCAAATTGCATTGTCATATTTCTCTCTTTTCGCTTTTTGTTGCATCCGTACATAAAACGTCAGTTACATAAAACGAATAAGTAAACATAATGACGCGGAATAAAAAGAGAAAAATATCGAATGAAGATTGTGAAGAGAGAACCATAAAGAGTGCACATATATAAGACAGAGATATAAAGTCCATTCTTTACGTATCGAAAACAGATTTTATGTGTTCGTCAGTGCGTCTAGTTGATATAAAATTTTATCTGCAATCAGCCGAAGCGACAATCGGTTCTCGTCGGAAGAGATCGAGAAAAAAAAATACAATATGGAGTTTCTAATCACAGGTGAGATATAGCGCAAATAAAGCGGAAGGATTGGGTCCTCTCCAATAATCTAACAATAATCTAACAATTTGAAATGAAATCCCGACGAGAAACATGGAAATTTTGGGTGTAAAATTCGCGCCGTTAAACATATCTTCGGAAAGAAGACTACAGACCTTGGTGGTCGCGATATGGGTTCTGGTTTCCGGCTTCGGCGATTTTTGGGGATACATCCTTACGGCCTATCTTTTACTCTACACGCAAACATTACGTTACTTCATGCTACTGTATTTCCTCTGGATGTATTACGATTGGAACACTTGCGATCGTGGTGGCAGAAGGTAATACAATTTTATTAATTTCTTTGCTGATCTTGAGATGATTCTGATATAAAGTGTCGATGTAAAAACTATTGTAGAATAAAAATAATTTTCTATCGGTCTTTGACTCAAAATAATTAATCGATGATGAACGATTATACAGGGTGGGCCATTTTAAGTGATCCACCCAAAAAAAAATGGAATCGTTAATTGCAAATTACATATTTTTTCTTAGAAACAACTATGTGTTTTCTTTACACCAATTGATTCCTCTCATTATTTTGTACATAAAAGTATTAAGGTAAGATAATCGAAAAATGAATGGTTTACTAGATATTTTAAGGTTTATGTAAAATTAAGAAATTATTTCAAGCCTTATAATTCAAAAAGTACTTAATGAAAAGGTACTTAATTATAGTGTTTTGGAAAGCTCTCGAGATAAGCTACAAGAATATGTAATGAAAAATAGAGGGTCCTATTTAAGAAATTGAAGGTAACCTTTATGTGACTTTCAAATGACTATCCAAGGTCAAATTTTTGCCACCCATCTTCTGTCCCCCTCGAAGTCAAGCAACTTTTATTTGAAACATTTTATTGTACATTTATAAAAAAGTTATTAGGGTGGATCGCTTAAAATGGCTCACCCTGTATGTAATAAATCTGTTGTGACACTTGTAGGCCTTAGGCGCAATTAAAAGAAATTTACCTTAAAATGAGAAGCGTTAACGATTAAAGAATGATTATATCTTATATCTTATATTATAGATATATCTTATATTTCAGTTATTCGTGGATAAGTAGAATGAGAAATAACGTATTTTGGCGTTACTTTTGCAATTATTTTCCATTGAAGTTAGTGAAAACAGTCGATCTGGATCCAAAAAAGTCTTATCTTTTCATCTCCGTACCCCATGGGATTTTATCAATGGGGATAATAGGTTCATTTGCAACGGATGCAATGGGCTGCAGTAAGCTATTTCCTGGACTAGACATGCGCATAATTGCTCTTGATCAACACTTGAAAGTACCTCTATTCAGAGAATATGCTTATTTCTTAGGTAAAAACTCTTGGTGTTATTTTTCACGGTTGTACAATCTTTCATTTCATAAATCTTTCAATATTCTATTGAATACTTTCAATATCGGTACAGCATATGTAAATGTATTTGAGAAAGAAAGATTTTATGTTGCATCAACATGAAAGGTGACATATGTTATGATTTTTCTTGTCTGTAAAAAAATGCTTTTTTAACATCTTTTTTTAGACAGAATTAATAGAAGAAATAAATTTTACAAGAGAAATGACTTAACATATCGTTATCGAAATAATTTTGTATTGCGAAGAAAAAATTATGAGAATTATTTAAAAAAAAGAAAAAAAACGAAATCATTTTAGACGTTAAATATTAATTGTTAAGACATTCAATATACATAATTAAGAGACAATAGTTCCCAAACAGGTTGTTGCGCTGCTAATGCGAAAAGTATCGAATATTTATTATCGACACCGGCAAAGAGCCCTCATACCGGAAGAGCTACGATACTTATTGTCGGCGGTACTTTTGAAACTATGGAATCGTTGCCAGGTACTTACCGTACCATCGTGAAAAAGAGAAAGGGCTTCGTGAAACTGGCTTTAAAACATGGGTGAGCGGCTAATTACTTTTTTCTACATTTTTAGATATATTTTCACATTAATCATATTTATTTGTATTAAATTGTATAGAATTATCGACATATAACACTGGACAGAGCATGCGGGGAAATTTCTTTGTTCTTTCCTGTTAAGAGACGTAGAAAAAGAGAAAAAGTAGATGTGGGGAAACGAATCTCTCATTCTAGTTTCTTTTCATTGGTTGAATTTTGTCAAAGGAGAAAGGGAACAGTACTGTTTTCTTATAAGTTGAGACGTTTAACTTTATTATTTTATATATGTATATATGTTTAACTTTATTATTATATATATGAAGAAACAGCATATAAAAATGATATTTTATAGCATATTATATACAAATTATTAATAATATGGTTTCTGCTTATTTATTATGCAAAACAAGTGGATTAAACACAGATAAGATACATAAGATTTTGAAGAGTCTCATGACTCCATAGTTCCATAAGCCGTTACTATCCTCACATCGCCTTGTCTCTTTCTACATCTGTCAATATGATTTCAGTTCCATGTTCCGTCCAGTACTATATGCCGATGAATAGAATAAGTCATATATTAAGAAAAATAAGAGAGAAGGAAAGAGAAAAGAAAAGAGTTTGAACAGTATGAAAAATATCACGATGATGAATACTGATACGATCTGATATGGTATAAATACTAATACTGAACACGACTCAAATCTAATACAATTTTATAATTTAGTACGCCGTTAGTTCCCGTTTTATCGTTTGGCGAAACGGATTTATACAATCAAGTGTATAGTCCAAAAGGATCGACTTTAAGACGTATCCAGGACTACATTCGCAATATCGCAGGATTGCCGCCGGTTATTTTTTGGGGTAGAGGATTCTTTCAATATTCGTTTGGTCTTATTCCAAATCGATTACCTGTTACCGTAGTCGGTAAAGTTCTTACTACATTTCATAATTTAATATATACCTTATAATATGTGTATATTAAATTTTCTTAATATTATCTTTTTTTATTCTATATAAAAAAAAAATTGTTATGTTTCGTTTCTTCATTTTAGTTGGCAGTCCTCTCGAGCTGCCGAAAATAGAAAAACCCACAGCTGAGCAAATTGATGAATATCATAAAAAATTTGTGGAACATCTAATTGAGTTTTTCGAAACGCAAAAATACAATTATATAAAAAATGCGGAAAAAACTACTCTCGAAACTGATTTGTGATGCGCGCTCGGATAATATCATCTATATTGTAAATTTGTCACTTTATTTGCAAGTTTCTCAAACTATTTGTCATTTTTCTTAAGAAGTTTAAAATATTTCGGGAAAACGAAAGTATTAGATATATAATTTTATATACAGGGTGTCGCAGACAATCCGTATCAACCGAATATCTCAAAAACAGAGCGCGGCAGATAAAAATATTTCAGACAAAAGTTGTAAAGTTTCAAGTATCGTATTATATGGCGATATCAGTATGACCTTGAAGAGTGTTGTCAAGGTCACGTAAAGGTCACCTTGAATTCTGTACGGAAATTCCAATTTTTTATTGCACATTCTTGTAGCTTATCTCGAGAGCTTTCCAAAACACTATAATTAAGTTTTTCTTAAGTATTTTCCGAATTATGAGCTTGAAATCATTCCTTAATTTTACATAAACTGTAATATATTTTGTAAAATATTCATTTTTAGATTATCTTACCTTAATACTTTTATGTACAAAATAATGAGAGGAATCAATTGGTCTAAGGAAAACATATAGTTGTTTCTAAGAAAAAATATGTAATTTGCAATTAACAATTTCGTATTTTTTCTTAAAGACAACTGTATGTTTTCTTCACATCAATTGATTCCTCCCATTATTGTGTACATAAAAATATTAAGGTAAGATAATCAAAGAATGAATATTTTACAGTTAGTAATGTAAAATTATGGAATGATTTCAAGCCTCATAATTCGGAAAGTACTTAATGAAAACTAACTTAGTTATAGTATTTTGGAAAGCTCTCGAGATGAGCTACAAGAATATGCAATAAAAAATTGAGATTTCCGTTTACAGAATTCAAGGTGACCTTTACATGACCTTGACAACACTTTTCAAAGTCATACTGACATCGCCGTGTAATACGTTACTTGGAACCTTACAACTTTCGTCTGAAATATTTTTGTCTGCCTCGCTCAGTTTTTGAGATATTCGGCTGATATTGGTCTGCGACATCCTGCATATTATTGTTATATACATACATACATGTGTGTATATATATATATATATATATATATATATATATATATATTCATTTGACTCAATTTGAATATAATATAATCACACGACTTTTATATTATCATATATTTATATGTCGTTTTATGATATTCCTGTATAAAAAAATCAATTGAAATAAAATAAAATTTCTATTGTCTAAATAAAAATATACAAAAGCCAAATTTAGTAAACTAATAAGTAAATATAATAGATTTTTGCATTAAATTGTTAAAAAAAATGATGGCCAATTCTAATTTCTTTTGTTAGAATTCTATATATCACAAAACGGACATCTTTGTATTCTTTTTTTTAGTTTTATCTTTTCTCATAAAAAAAGCTTCATCAAAATTAAAGCTTAATAAATAATAAATATGAGATACAAAAAATGTACAGATGTATGTTAAACGAAATAAACTAAATGTGCATAAAAATAATACATTACATTCATTTAACCTTTCGAGTGCTATATTACAAAGTTAAAAAAATACGCTAAGTACATAAAAAGATAAAAAAATCTGAAATAGTGATAAAAATAAAGTATTTAAAAATCGATATGAGATCAATACTATTAGTCAAGTATAATAAATTATATGATATTAATTCGTAATCGATTGTAAATGAGTTAAGATTACTTTAATTCTTAAAGCATTTTTTATATGATATATAATTTAAAAAAGTTTTACACTGATTCTAAATCACATAAATGACTTTCAGGTCGAAGTAAGATAAGAAACCTTGGCGTAGCCCGTATTTAAATTATATAGGAAAATAGGAAAAAGCTAGATTTTTGATGGGCCCAATGTAAAATTTGAAATTATACTATGGACCGCGCACGCGCATAGGTAAATTTCGAACTTATATATCTTGTCTCCTCTGTATTACCTGAAAATCACTTCATAGAGATTAGACAAACAAAATAAAATCTCTTTTTTTATGAATTTTTATTTTCTCTGCAATTAAAGTTTAATTGTTTTAAGCTGGATTAAAAAGCTTCGCATGTTGTTTCTGGCCCACAGGCTGCCTGTTGCATATTCGTAGTCTAAAGCCTATTTTAGAAAAATGTATATTGTACTTACTAAATGAAAGAATTAACAAATATATATTGTACTCTCTAAAAGTGAATCAGTGAAAATATCGCTAATTTAAACAGTAACATAAGATTTCACTGAGAATCAGTGAGTATTTTATTGATTTTCAGTGAAAACGCTTATTTTTTTATTATTCTATCTTGTATCTCACTGATTATGGTGAGTTAAAAAAAATTCACTGTAAAACCAGTAAATTTCACTATAAAACCAATAATCGTTAATTCGTTCATTTACCGCTACAATCACTATCTCTTTCGTATTTAGTTTTAGTCATAAGAATTATATATAGTTTGCAAAGAGCGACGGATAAAATTAGAAGTATTACTTCGATTAGTTTTTGATACAATCTCAATAGAGAGGTTTCGGATATTAAACCGATCTTATAAATCGAACAATAAATGTCTGGCGACTTAGTGAAAATTATTCGTTCGTTATCTATTTAAAATAACAAGTTCAATGTGTATATGATATAAATAAAATAAAATTTTTAATATAATAAATATTTAGTAAATATAAATAAAATTTTTAATTTTATATGAAATAGAGAGATGAATTGTAGTTTAATATTACTGACAATAACGAAAGAAATATTACTAATATTGAGAAATACATATTAGTGGAGAGCGATGTTTAAAAAAAGCATCAATTCAGAAATAATCGATGCAAAATAAAATCAATGTTTGGAAATTGATGTTTTACTGAATACATCGATATTAATCGATTCTTTTTTGATCGGAATAAAGCGCACCTGATTTCAATAGCTGCAGTTAAAAGGGGAAAGAAACCGTCAAGAAGCGAATAAAAAGCGATTAAAATGTTGACAAACAAAAACGTACTAAAATAAATAAAATTTATTTCAACCTAGTATGCATATCTTAAATAGTATTCTTTTTATTCATAGCCATGTACAAAATTGAGCATAAAATGTTAATGTTTCTGGTGATGATTTGAGTGTTGTATGATGAATTACAATTCCAACTTAGTTTTTGTAATTCCAAATTGTATCTGCCTGCAAATATATACCTACACAAAGAAAACATTAATAAATTTTATGTTCATAAAAATAAGTTTTGTTAACAATGTTTATAAATAAAAAATAGTGTAATGGAAGTAAACACAGAAGCTTTTTAGAAGTAGGTAATAATTTTTAAAAATTCAAGAAATTTGATGTTGTATATCACGTTATATTATTAAAATTCTTGTACATATCAATTTTATATACAGTAAAAACATTCATGCTTCTTGAAATAACAGCTTAAATAATAAGATCATAGTAAATACAGGTGCACAAGTTATCACATGAAGAAGCTTAGTTATAAACGCCATTTATGAAATATGCCAATATTTTTGTTGAGGGAACTAAGAAATACTAACGTATTAAGTCTGTCTTCCGTAAGTCGACTACAACGTTTAGCCTTAATCGCGCCGGCTTTTGAAAACAATCTCTCTGACGGAACGGAAGTAATAACAATGCTTAAATATTTTAGAGCGCATGAGTATAGTGTCGGATACGCAACTTTCAACTTGTCTCAGTACTCGATACCCAAACAGCACAAGGATTTCCTTTGGATCTTCTAAGGAAATTTTATTGGGATATATGAGATATCCTAAGGATATCTGTTTGTAATTCTCGTACGTTTTTAGGATGTCCTAAGGAATAAGCGCCTCAAATAATGCTTAGAAATATCCTCAGGAGATTCTATTTCAACGTCCTAAGGATATTTGCAGGATGTTCATAGGAAATCTTATAATCTTTAAAACGTCTACAATACATCCTAAATTAGTCCAGGACACATCATTGTGGTGCTTTATATGTTATTTCTAAGATTAATTTAGGTTATATGCATATTTTTTCAGGATTTTTTTCAGGATTATTTCAGGATAAATTAAAAAATTATGTACACATTACAAATTTTTATACAAATTTGTATACAAACTTTTTATTAATTTTAATATTATTGCACATTGCAAATTTATTGCACTTATTACATTTATTGAAAGAAAACAAAAAAACCATATATATATATATATATATATATATATATATATATATATATACAGGGTGACCCATTTTTACTTAGGCAGCCAAATAACTCGAAAAATAAGCACACTACGAAAAAATGGTTACAATCAAAATTTCGTCTTTTCGAGGGGGACGTACAATGACGTTAAAATCAGCCCCCCACCCCTCCCCCTGGGCGGTGAGGGGGGGCAAGTTTGAAATCTTAAATGGGAACCCCTATTTTTTATTGCATATTCCTGTAGCTTATCTCGAGAGCTTTCCAAAAACACTATAATTAAGTACCTTTTTATTAAGTACTTTTTGAGTTATAAGGCTTGAAATAATTTCTTAATTTTACATAAACCATAAAATATCTAGTAAACCATTCATTTTTCGATTATCTTACCTTCATACTTTTATGTACAAAATAATGAGAGGAATCAATTGGTGTAAAGAAAACATATAGTTGTTTCTAAGAAAAAATATGTAATTTGCAATTAACAATTCCATATTTTTTCTTAAAAACAACTGTATGTTTTCTTTACACCAATTGATTCCTCTCATTATTTTGTACATAAAAGTATGAAGGTAAGATAATCGAAAAATGAATGGTTTACTAGATATTTTATGGTTTATGTAAAATTAAGAAATTATTTCAAGCCTTATAACTCAAAAGTACTTAATAAAAAGGTACTTAATTATAGTGTTTTGGAAGCTCTTGAGATAAGCTACAGGAATATGCAATAAAAAATAGGGGTTCCCATTTAAGATTTCAAACTTGCCCCCCCTCACCGCCCAAGGGAAGGGTTGGGGGGGCTGATTTTAACGTCATTGTACGTCCCCCTCGAAATGACGAAATTTTGATTGTAACCATTTTTTCGTAGTGTGCTTATTTTTCGAGTTATTTGGCTGCCTAAGTTAAGATGGGTCACCCTGTATATATACAAATATAAATATATATATATATATATATATATATATATATATAAATATATATATAAATAGAAATATATATAAATAAATATATATATAAATAGAAATATATATATATATATATATATATATATATATATATATATAAAGTCTGATCCGGAAATAAGTCATGTTATATAAAAAAATTTTAGAAGATTTTTTTTATGGGTTCGATGTACTAACTAATGACATTCATAATAAAATAATCGTCACTTCATGACTGAAAAATGACGTAAAAATAATGTTATA